TTCTTTTCTTTTCTTTTCTTTTCTTTTCTTTCTTTCTTTCTTTCTTTCTTTCTTTCTTTCTTTCTTTCTTTCTTTCTTTCTTTCTCTCTTTTTTTTGTGCCTCCTCCGTGGTTTGAAGCAATCACAGTCTGATAAATGTCTGTCTCTCGGAACCATGAACATTCTTCCCTAGAACAGAAAATCTTCACAACAATTTCTCCCACCATTTGTCTTGCCAAACTTTTCCAAACTGACCTTTGCTGATGCTTTCTTGTAACACGATGGTCCTGGCAATTCTTCTCTGAACCAGCAGCAGTAAACCCTTCGTCCCAGGTAGCAGCATCTCTACAGTGACCAACACGATGAGAAGGAGCTGGCAACGTGGAGCAGTAGCCACTGCTTCCATGGTCCCACCACTGTTTGTGGCTCAGTCCGGGCCGAACCTTCTCCCAAGCCTCCTAGGCTGCCGCAAACTCTGGATCCTACTTGATGCTGGAAAACCCAACCCATTCTGGCAGGTGGTCCCTTGTTCTCTAACAAAGCAGGCTAAGCAAGCCACGAGGAACAAGCCAGTAAGCAGCACCCCTCCATGGCCTCTGCATCAGCTCCTGCCTCCAGGTGGCTGCCCTGTTTGAATTTCTGTCCTGAATTCCTTTAGTGATGGACCATGATGCGGAAGTATAAGCCAAATAAACCCTTTCATCCCCAAGTTGCTGTGATCATGTTTTTTTCATCACAGCGATAGAAACCCTAATTGCTTCCAGGAAGAGAGTATTTCTGTGACAGACCTGACCATGTTGGTTTTGTGAGAACTATGGAAGAACTTGGGAACTTTGAGTTAGAAAAGTCAATGAGTGGTCAAAGTTTGTGAGCTCTTCTGTGGGGCTTGAAAGGTGAGAATGTGGAGAGCAGTGCAGACGATGGAGGCCTGCTGTGTGAAGTTTCAGAGGGAAGTTTGAGAGTCCCCTAAAGACTCTATCAGGGTTGTTTGCTATTTTGAATTAATTATCTGTGGTTCTGGGTAGCTGGGGTTGAAGAATCAGGTGTGATTATCAAGAAACCAGAACTACTGAAGTAAAACATTTGCTTTACTGGGACAATTGATTCTGGTTAGCTGGAGCTGAGAAATCAGTGGTGATTAAGAAGAGACCACCATCATTGACGTGAAATCTTCTGGGAATGTTTCTTCAGAGTCAGCACATGCAAATTGTGTACAGAGGTGGCCAGGGTTGTACCTTGTGCCAGAAGCCCAGGTAATACTGTTTTTGAAGGCATGAAGAGGTCATGGAGAGCAGCTGAGGCTTGGCACTGTGAGAGGCCTAGAGAAGCCATTGGTGAAGGTACAGCCAAGGTAGCAGTGGAAACCCCAGGATCGAATGGGTCATGGAGGGAGTTGAGGCTTTGTATTATGAAGAGAGTCCAGGAGAGGCTACTGGTTAAAATGCAGCCCAGTTGCAGCAGGAGACCCCAGCATTTTGGAGGTGCCAGTACCATGGGACAACCACCATGCTGTGGAATGGTGCTGATCTGAACCTAGGAGACATTCTGTGTGTCTTGCTGAGGTTGGAGCTAGAGAAGTGAACCAAGCCTTTTGAAGGAACCAGGAGATTGTGAGTGAATTTCAGGTATTAGACACTGAATTGTTTATATACAATTTGCTTTTGCTTTTATTTGATTGTGACTGTGCCTTAGTTTTTCCCAAAATACTTTGAAGAAAGAAAGTATTTAACTTACTGTTGATTTTGCAGGAGCCCACAGTTGAGAGATTTTGAACTTTTTTTTTTATATTTTATTTTATTTTACAATACTATTCAGTTCGACATATCAGCCACAGATTCCCTTGTTCTCCCCCTTCCTGCCCCCTCCCCTTCCCCCCAGCCCACCGCCCATTCCCACCTCCTCCAGAGCAAGGCCTCCCCCCCTCCCCCCAGGACTGAGATTGACCTGATAGTCTCAGTCCAGGCAAGTCCAGTCCCCTCCTCCCAGACGAGAGATTTTGAACTTTTAAATTGATTTTGGAATGTTACAAAGACTTTGGATTTTAAGAGACTGAATATTTCAAGGAGACTTATTGTTCCAGTGTTTGAATTTTTAAAAACTGTGGGGGCTTTTTAAAATTTGCAATATTTATATTGTCACGTTGATATTCATGTATGATCTCAGGGCTGAACAAGAACGGAAAGGTTATGGATTAGCAGTGATTTGTTTGTGTGTTGAGAATGGATCAGTTGTGCTGACTAGTTTTATGTCAGCGTCGTGACACAAGCCAGACTCATCTGAAAGGAGGAAACCTTAACGGAGAAAATGTTTGGCTATAGGGCATTTTCTTAAATTGTGATTGATGGGGGAG